TTGTTCCCCCTTGGAACAGCTGGTGGGTCTAAACCACTAACCTGGGGGTTAGCTGTCCAACACCCACCTAACAACATCACCAGAGTCATCTTCTAGCCCCTGTAAAACTCCAAGTGAGGTTTTCTGAACTCTGAGGACAGAGATGTTCTGTCAGTCATTTCTCTCATTTTGCTTCAGGACACGGATTCTGAACTAGACGGTCTCGGGAACCTGTAGGAAGGAAGATTATCAGGATCTCTGAGACAAAGAATGTGGCTTGGAAAACTTAACCCACATTAACTTTGCTTGCTTTGACCTGACCTGAGGGTTTTTTAATAGCAATTTTTTATTTTAATATCTCATTTATCTGGAAATCCCAAGTGAGACTTAAGACATTCGTCTTTCTTTAATGAAATCATGCACGGGGTTCAGTCTCAGGCCCAGAGACCCTGCGGCTGCTCGGGCAGTTGCAGCAGCACGTGCATCCAACCTGGGGCTTTCTGCCGGCTCGCGGGCACGTGGGGGAGCCATCGATGTAGCAGAGGGGGGGAAATCTACCCACTCATTTTCATAGTGTCCACCCGAAAGACGAGAGTTCATTAGAGAGCGATGGTGGGGTGCGGTCACGTTGATTTTCCCTCCCAGTGACCCCACGTGAGGGAGAACAGGCTTGTCGAGGTGGCCATCTTCACAGAAGCAGCTGGCCAGGCCTTTCACCCGTGAGCCACTGGCTGCTTCCACGTCCTCCTCACTGACCAGGGAACTCCAGGTTTGTTTAGAAAGTGGATGTGTCGAAAGGAGATGGGTGGACGGGACATTTTCCTTCTCATGTAGAAATGCATGTGTTCCCCTCGTGAGTGGCTCTAGGCCAGGAGTCTACCCGACAGTCCCTCCATGTCTGCCCTCATTCCCAGCTCCGCTGAAGTCAGGGAGCTGCTGACTCGGCTGTGACGCGAACGCTGTCCCCGTCAAAGGTTAGTAAGCTCCGGGGAGAGCTGTTGGGAAGGTGGAGATGTGCATACCCAACGATCATCCCATGGACTTCCGTTCTGAACTCCGAGATAGAAAATTCCAGAACCCACTATAGGGTCCAAATCTCCATGCCCCAAGAATCCAAATTGTCATTTCAAATGGCATTCTCTCTGTGCCAGCATGCCCTCCGGCCACGTTTAATCCCCTCATTGAACACGTGCAAGAAATTCATTAAGTGGGCAATTAACCACAAAATCTTTGTGCCCGGACTTAAAAAGCAAGCACATAGACTAGAAGACACCAGAGGAGGGAATCTTCTCTGCGCTGCGGTCAGGGTCTGGAGCTGACCTGTCAGTCCTCCCAGATCCACCTCGCTCGCTTCATAATGATGCTCCACCCAGGGTTTCAGGGCCCCCGAAGAATCCAATCGGCAAGTCAGCCTGCCGGTCTATGCCAGTGGTTCAGTTATTTGATCAGCACTTGCCAGCTGGAAGATGGGCAATGAGTTGTTTTTCAGACAAAGGCCAAATAACATATGGAGCAGTTATTTACAATCTGATAGCGGGGATGGGTTATTATCTATTTAAAGTAGGAGCCATCTTTTCCCCATTACACAAATGTTTGTTGACTTCTGCCTGGCTAATTGTCAGCAGAGAGGTTCTAAGTGCCACTTTCCTGATTAGAAGAATGTTTATTGCAGTTTGTGGACTCAGCGGGGGATGTTTGAAATGACGCCTGAGGTGGCAGGCAAGCCTGAGCTGCAGAAGAAATCAGATTTACCAGTAGGTCCAGGACTGAATGAGAAAGGGATTAAGTGAAGGTGTCAGGCACACATAACTGCACATGTATGTGAAGGCTGAGCCATGTCCCTGGATCTCTAGGGAGTCACAGGAGTTCTTAGCTAGGCTCCTTATGGTAACTGTCATCAAAAGATGTCAACCAGTTAGGTGGTGGAGACTGAGCCAAAGGAATACATTTAAGTTTAGGGTGTAGCCAACATTGTGAAAACCCTCCATGAAGAGTAGAGTCCTGGAGCTAGACTTCAATGCAGCGATCATATCTCCAGCCCTGGCTTTACCTGAGGATAATGATTGCCAACCTAGCCCCAGATGGTAATTTGTTAAAATGAGATGATTAGAAAGCATGTTAGTTCTATTGACTAGAGAAACAAATCCGGAGACACTCATGTGTGTGTAAGAGAGGCCTTCATATCAAAGAGCAATCATATATTGAGAAAACATCCCAGTCCAGATCAAGTCCATAAGTCTAATATTAGCGCATCTGTCTGATACCAATCTATAAAGCCCTCTTTAGACTCACGCAGCACATGTATGATGCTGAATGCAGGAGGATCACAGGCCGGTGGGTGAAAAGGCTTGTGGATCCAATGGCGGTGGAAGTATCTCCAGGGCTCTAGCTGCCATCAGCATGGCTCCTTGTGGCTTGTCAACAGGAATGTGTAGGCATAGAGACAGTGTGGTCTGCCTCCCAGGAGAAATAGAGAGGAAATTCCCAGAATCCTCATGATTAGGTCACACCCACAGGAGGCCTCAGGCTGCGACCTAATTGACAGGTTAGACGCCACCCCTTCACTCTTAATATCCTCCAGTTGACCCCTCAAGTCAAAAGGCATTTGAAAGGGGTTTCTTTAAAACCGCTATAACCTTGACTACAGGACCAATGCTAGTTGCATTTCCTAGGTACATAAGAACAAAGGCTAAAAGAGCTTGATTCGAGTCATAAGAAGAGACACTGCCACAGCTGTTCCTTCATCACTCAGTTGCAAGATTTGCCTGGGGCCCTGTTCCCATCACCCCTGCTTCCTCCCAGTTGCCCATCCATGGTCTCCATTCAAGCACTGCAAAAACACCACACATTGCTTGTCTTAGCGTGGGTGGAGACAGCTACTTCATGCTGGTGACCTCTTGGATGTGAGCCGATGTCCACCTATTTCTGCAATTGCTCACAGCTGACACGGGTCTCTCACTTCTTGCAGATCCCAACGGTGGTGGGCGAGAGCCGTGCTCTTTGCTCTGTGGAAAGTGCTACCCGCAGCTGTTTCCAAGGGGTGAGTGCAATGCCCGGGGAGCTGGGAGCAGCTAGGCTGACCGTTTGCTGACTGATTAAAGGCAGTGCTCCTGCTCGCTGCCATCAAGGAGACGCCCCCTCACAGGGACCCTACAGGACAGCGGAGAACTGCCCCGGTGATTTCTGAGACTGTGACTCTTCATGGGAGTGAAAACCTCATCCTTGTCCCTCCCTGATCTTGCAGGTCGGGGCCCAGTGTGTAACCACTGCCCCAGCAGGGCTAGACTCATAGCGATCCCAGCTGCAGTAGCACGCCACTCTGCCCGGTCCTGCCCCGTCCTCGGAGCTGTCCTGATTGAACCCATAGTCCAGGGACAGCTCCCTCCCAGTGACATGCCCCAAATACCGGAGTCTCCTCCTCCTCCTCCTCTCTAAGGGACCTTCTGACTGTACTTCTTCCAAGACAGATGTATTCCTCCTTCTGACAGATTTAAATCACAGACCTATTCCTCCACCCCGGCGCCCAGACAATCTAAGTGTAGAGGTAGCGTTGCCTCTGACTTCTCACACGATAAGTGTCTCTGGCACAGCTGATAACCAGAGGATCCAGAGAAGATGGAAATAAATGTATCTATGCTAGAAACCAAAGTCACGCTTAAAAATATCTTTTCAGGTGTTGAGCCCAGCCATCAAAGAAGAGAAATTCTTAAGTTGGTTGCAGTCTGAGCCGCCCATCCTCCTCTGGTTGCCCATCTTCTACCGACTGTCAGTCTCTGAGATGGTCACTCACCCCGTGCGGTGTGGCATCTGCAGGAACTTCCCCATCACGGGCCTCAGGTGAGGTCCCTCATGAGCACGCGGTGTCTGATGTTGAAGCCGTGTCTCTCCACATTCTTTCTGAGACCGTTTTTTACAAATCCAACTCAGTGCCTTCGAGTCGGTGCTGACTCACAGTGACTCTCTAGGACAGAGTTAAGCTGCCCCTGGGGCTTTCCGAGACTGTAAGCCCTTATGGAAGTAGACAGCCTCATCCTTCTCCTGCAGAGCACTGATGAGTTCCGAACTGCTGACCCTGGGGTTAGCAGCCTCACTTGTATTCCACTAAGCCCCATGCAGTTACTTCTTGTGGTTCAATACTTGTCAGCATAAAATGTTAAAATAAACAAATAGAATTGAGCTACTGAAAAAAATGCTGGTTCATAATCATGTTTTATCTTCCACAATTGGTGACAATATTAAATTGTTTTACCGACAGCTCCTACCCTACTCAGACCAATGGAGATCCCCACCCTTCACCCCACCAGGGAAAAAATTCTTTTTCCATTGGTTTCAGTTTTTCTTTAATTTTTTCCCCTTTGGAGACATCAATAATAACAATAGGGATAATAATAACAATAAGCACAACTCGAACCCACTGCCCTTGGGTCACTTCTGACTCACAGCAGCTCTATGGGAGAGCCGAGCTGCTCAGCACATGGTCTCGTCTTTCTCTGGCAGAGAGGCTGGCGGGCTCTCATCGCCCACTTGTCAGTTAGCTGCCTAGTGCTCAGTCCGCTCTGTCCCCCACCCCTGTGAGGTTAATACTGACAGTAACTTATATTTATTATGTATTAAAGCAAGTGGTAGCCTGAGTGGCTTGCCTGGATCACTTCAGGTAAACTCCTGATGCCCCTATAAAAAGGTGGTGATCTTATTCCCGATGACAGATGGGGACAGTGAGACTTAGAGCTTGCAGGGTGAGCAAGTGGCAGTGGCTGGTGGTCTGAAGTGAGAGGCCATACTTTTCAATCACGGGGACATGCTGCCTCCCCACGCAGATAACTGAGGACAAGACCTCACCCCCAGGACACTGGTCAGATTAGATGGGAGCTCAAGAACCTTGGGCACCTTATAGGCAGGACAGATTTGAAAGCGACGATGTTGGATGATAGATTCAGATCTTTCCACAGCTTTGAGGATGGCCGTCATAATCCCATCAGAGAGAGAGAGAGAGAAGGGGGAGGAGGAAGGTAGTGATCCTAGGCAAGGTGCTATTTAATTTCTCTGGGTCTGAGTTTCCTTGTGAGTAAAACAGGAAGTGGGGGGCCAGACAATGATTGAGGTGTCTTCACCTCTGACCTCTGAGGGAGGGAAAGAGTGAGCAAGGAAGGGAGGGAGAGAGGTAGGGAAGGGAGGAAAAGAAAACTAGAGACGAAACCAGAAGGGTCAGGCCAGGTGTGGGGATTCTTCCCAGTCCAGGAACACCGGTTTGGGGCTAGAAGTGGTGCAGCACTCAAGATCTGGGACAACCAGGGACCTGAAAACAAGCCACAGGTGGGGCAAGAAGGGAGGGGCCTCGGGGCTCCGTACATACTCCCTTTGTTGCCTTCCCTTCCTGCAGTGTCAGATCTCCACCAGCCAGGTCTGAGCCACAGTCCTGACACGGGGAACAGGTAGGCCCGTTGGGTGCCTGAAACACAGAGATCAGGTTTCACATCACTGAAAAAATGAAAGGAGTTCACAGAGAATTCTGGGAGCCCAGAGCAGCCTCACTCTCGAAATATCCTGGAACCATCTGAGTTTAAACAATACAACGAATCAAAGAAGGGATTGTTGGGAACCAAGCTTGAAGAACCCAAGAAATCTCTATACTAGAACGAAAACTAAACTCCTTTTTGTTTTGGACAGTGGGGGAGCACGAATATGATACTGTAAACATCTTTTAATCACTGCACCAATAAACAGGTAATAAGCAGTCACGGTGTGTCCCGCATGGTACAGAAATTGGCATTGTTTTTAAAATCGCTATGTAGAAAATAAAACAAATATTATTCCTATTCAGAAGACTGCAAAATGGACTCTCAAAGAATTGGAGTGACTTGCCCAAGTCTCTTTTAAAAAAAGTAATAAAGGCAGAGGGCTAACTGCATTGAGCTGCTAACCACGAGGTCAGTAGTTCGAAACCACCATCCGCTCCATGGGAGCCAGCTAAGGCTCTCTACTCCCACAAAGAGTTAGTGTTGGAAATCCACATGGGGCAGTTCTACTATGACCTATAAGGCTAATAAGGGTCAGAATCAATGAAACATACAACTTTCCTCTAGTCTTAAAAGCTTCCCCCACCCCCCACTATCATGATCCCAATTCTACCTTACAAATCCAGCTACACTAGAGGTTGTACACTGGTACAGATAGGAACTGGAAACACAGGGAATCCAGGACGGATGATCCCTTCAGGACCAGTGGTGAGAGTGGCCATACCGAAGGGTGGAGGGAGGGTGGGGTAGAAAGGGAGAACCGATTACAAGGATCTACAT